AAAATGAAAGAAAGATTTTAAAGAAATCTGACAATGGGAAAACAACAAACAAAACAAGCCAAATATTCAGAGAATGTAACTGTGCATTACAAAATGACTTCATCATCAAAATGAGCACCACTTCACATGCCATGAAAAATATTCGATCTTATCAGTTTGCCTGTGCAGCTGCTTTTTCACGTGTCGAATATGTTTATTTGAGCAGGCGATTTGAAATCAACACTAGAAGCGTCAAATGTAATTCATGCAAGACCTTGAACGTTTCTAAATCAAAATAATTGATTTGGAAGATGAAATAGAATTCAATGCACATGAGCGACAAATGATTGATAAAATTAACAACCTCACAATTTTTCAGAACGAGTTATAGGCAGTATATATAGTTTGAAACATTAATTTTTAGTGTTAACTGACGCAAACCTTGCTGATGTTAGGTTTTGTGATGTAGCCATGTTGTTCTTTATTATAATTTGACTTACACCAACAAATGTTACAGATAACTATACGATCACATCTAATGTTCAACGTCTTCTATTTTACAATGATTTAACTACTTCTATTTATACAAAATTTACGTAAGATTATTTTGGGCTCTGATAACAAATATGGTTCATTGACGTCAACGGAAAACTACTAGGAACTATAAAAAATATTGTCTTGATAACATTATAAGTATCTCTTAACATTAGTCATCTAATTACTTACACTTGAATTAATGTTTACTAATCACGGGAAGAATATGAGAGCATATCTTAACAGCTGAAACCTATATAACATTTTTAACTACAATATGACCCCAGTAAAATCAAATGCATTTACCAGCAAGCAAAGCATTCAAATTACTAAAGCAAAAATTTCATCCAAATCAGAATGTTGTGATGCATGAGGAAAAGTTTCATCAGTTAAGAGGTAAAATGCTAATGTCAATTTACACCATAAAACGTTGGAACAAAAATTTGATATCCCATAGAACTAAAAAACATTCATCACATTCACGTTTCTAATTATTTGACACAAAATACAAGTCCTTGCCGATACATTTTGCAACGATCAACAAACCAAGTACGCACCTGATCACTCTTCAACATGATCAACAAACAATTTTTGGAAAACAGCTTAGCTAGTATCTTGAAAATATAATTGGATATGCATTGTGTAGCATAGTATCAAACCGCCACTCGCATCGAGGTGAGTTGAGAAAAAATCGAAACATCGCTTGCTTTTTTGCTCGTAGCTAATAGTAATATTGACTAGGACATCATTTTGTAGTGTACAAAATGAGATTTTTTCTCAACAACGATTTTCTTTGACATAACATGTTATATAATAAAATAAAATATTTATAAACACAGGTATAAATAAATCAACTGAGAATACATTTTATTCGGCATTAATTGCAAGAGGAAATTTCCGTCTGTGCAAATGTATTGACAACGTTTGCCGTAACTGGAGTAGAATTAAGGATTTGTGAAAATTATAAGCAATGTATAGAGAATTGCATGCACATACATAATGGTAAAACTTTTGTCTCTGTTTACAAATCTTTTTAACTAAAATTATTTTATGTTTTGTGTAATCACTCTCTTACCTGATGTTCTTCTTTCAAGAGTCTTGGCGCACAATGACAAAAACACTTTTCTTTTGACATATTAAAAACACATTTTGAATAATTATGCAAAGTAACAATAATCTTTTAAAGTGTATGTTTTCACCCCAACAGAGTTTCACAACTTTCTTTTGACTTATGAAATGTATTATACCACGAAATTTATTTTTCTGATAAGCCAAATTATCATGTAAATGATGCAAAACACGAGAGATTAATAAGAAAGACGTTGAAAAATATCAGTAATCAATGTATAAGATATAGTTGTATAAAAATGTCATCAACACTGAAACTAATACAAACAGCCACACCTTTGTACACAAGACGAATATTGCTATTTCTTTAATATTCAATTCTTCAAAATGATTTTAATTAATCTACCATCGTTAGACATAGTGAGTAATGTTAAGTAATTACAATCAGTGTTTCTGACTCTCGTACCTCTGATTCAAAGGCTATTCTTGAATGGTTTCCAATGATTTTGCATACACACCACCGTCATATACGATAACTTATTCCTAATTTAAAGTTTGAGTCCTTAACAGACAACTCACACGATCGCTAACTACCCTCTAATCCATTCATCCCGAGCTAAATATTGAGGGTTTTCACAATTCTTCACCCTAGTCCTTTTAGCAATTCTTTTGCATCATATGCCGTCATTTTGATCAATGGCAGCTTTTATTGAATAATTCTTCATGAATGACTCTTCTGAAAGACTCTTCAAAAATAAGTTTAATGATTTTGTTCTTCGTGTGTATATCAGATAAGTCTTTTTTCCCATTTTCCATTACTACTTTCTCTCAAACAAGATGATTAGAGATTTTGCAGGGGAGATAATTCAAACATTATGCATATTTGTCATGGAGACAGTCAAATGTCGATTATAGCAAGATGACATATCATGTAATATTTAATTTATCATACAAAGCGTATTTTGATTTGGAGGTTTTATGAGAAGTACCTTTCACTGGCTTTGCAGGCACAAAGTCTGATCGTATGATGTCTAATCAGATTATTGTGTGGTAAGTTGTTATTAACTTGCCTTTACGCAGGTGCTTAGATACTTTGATTGCATCTGTGCCCACGAACTGGTGTCCAGTGTATTATCAAAGTTATAGTTGAGAATTGTGAATGGTTGAGATGAGATTGTTTGTGTTATTTATGAATTTTAAGACCAATTTGTGGAGAGCACGGTGTGAAATGATCTTTTCCATGACAGCATTCACAAGACGATTATAAAATTAGTTGGGTATTTTTTAAGGAGTAAGTACGGATTTGTTAGCGTATTTTGTTTTGTAATTATGTGATGAATTTTGCCGATGCTCTTAAGTCTTAACTCTCGAGCCTCGTGTTCATAAAACATTATTTATGTCGCTTCTTAATGTCAAAATATTTTCGAAAATTTTTGTTTCTTTAAAACGAAATTATCCGCAAGAAATCCAGTCACATTTGCACAAGAGAAAAGATATTTTATTCTTGAATTTAAAATTCAAATATGGCGGTAAAAATATTGCTCCAGGTGTTTTGAGTTCAACGGATATTATAATTTAACCTTGTATATATGTTTAAGTATGTATAAAAACTTTATTTCAAGAGGGTAACAGACAACAGTCAAATAGACTGATAAACTACTGGCTCTCTTATACTTTATATACAAATGTATATCAAAATTCTAAAATTATACTATAGTATATAATTAAAAAATGATAATGCACTCAACTTTAAAACATCTATATACTTCTTGTTTAGTTAGCATGAATTTGACGTCAAGTACGTTAATTTTTGGCAGTCTGTGTGACGTGTATTTATTTGATCATGGATCATTTTGTTTATTAAGACGCGTGCCAAAACACCTTTGTTTTTCTATATATGCACTCGTACTTAAGCGTATTGTAATCTGGGCTAGAATTTGTGATAAGCAAAACGTGTCGTTAGAGTGATATAGTAGCTATTATTGATACACTGAGTTCAGTTCCTTACAAAGTTTCTTGATTGTTTGAGTAAGTTTTCTTGAACCCCATTGTCATAGACGAATAGCGAAAATGCAAAACATGAAAACCACTTAAACACGGGCAAACCACATTAACATGGGCAAACCACTGGTTTTAAGGACGTTGCTCTGATGCTGCTTGTATTTTCTGAAAATGTATTTTGGTTTTGCTCAAATAATAATGGTGTATAGCATGATATACAGAGCAAAAAGCTCTCTAAAGGGAGACTTTATTATGTATAAATCTATAACCGTGTGTGTGTGTTCTGATGTGCATTTTGGCTGAAGTACCTGTGAGTCTGTCGCTATTGTTTTGAACAGCTACGTCTTTAAAAAATTTCATATCTTTCACTTTGAATGTCATTAGCTAACGATGGGATCAAAGTTTCAGATTGAAGCTCTCTTTTCTTCTTTGTCTGTCAATATTTTTGGCTCAGATTAAATTCAACGATTTCTTCTTGTGAAGTGAAAATAGTTCTCGATCTTTTCCCGCTAAAGTGGTTGGATTTGTGCACGTGTTGATTGTACTAATCTTCTTAGCGCAGTGGCATCCTCCTGTTATACAAACATATTTCTTATTGTGATTAAAGGAAATGTCTTCCGCCTTCACCGAAATGATCAGAGTTGATGGTTTGTGTGTGTCTGTGTGTCAGTGTATGTGGGGGGTTGGAGGAGGCCCGATTGTTAAGTGTATCCATTAATTGTTCGATATATTAGTATTTTGCAGGGAAATTGACTTCCATCTTGTGTATCTAAGACTGGGGGTGGTGTTGCATATTTCTCTTCAACCCTGTCCTAAATCCATCCTTGCGTTTTGACGTATCATTAAATTCTTGATAAATGACTAATGATGTTTCACCCTGGCAGTTCTATTTCATAATGTGGTCAGTCGTCTAGTTTTTTTAATATTGCAGTGAACTGATTCACTCACCAAAATAAATTTTATTCGTGTACAGAACGTCTTGTTGTTATTAAAAAGTTATGGCTTTACCTGGGCCCAGGGTGGTCTCATGTTATTGAGAATTCTTAGCAAAGTCTTTGTTGTAGGTATCTTGATTTGTCATATTTCAAAACATAAATTCGTTCAATATTAAGAATAACGTACTAATAAATGCTATAGCAAAATTTCCTGTTTCAGCACACAATGTCAGTTTGTGCTTTGGGTCATCACAAGAATTTTTTGATGTAAGCAAACTTTTCATCATAACGCAAGTAGAATAAAAACTATGCAACTTTCATTTTCATGGTACATCGTTATTGTTTCTTTTGGCTCATATGCCTGTGATGAAAGGATTCCATATTTAAGCTGTCCGTGCACTTACGACTGTACGTTAGCTGCGTACACATTTTCTTTATATTGAACAGATCAACTTACTCTTTGATCGATGGTACGAAGTTCTGTTTATACCGAAGTATTTGTTTTCCAATATAACCTCCAAGTAGCAGCCGATATATGAAGTAAGTTTGTTGTCATTTTTTCAACAAGCTATAGAAAATTTAACAAACATCCAAGACTCATTTTTTCTTTCAAATTTTTTATCGAAGCATTAAGTAAATCTGTAACGTCACTAAGTTCAAGGTTTATTTGATTAATGATATGTACCGTTAAAAAAATATTACACTCCTGATCTTTCTCATAAAGAAAAATCAAAAAGTTGGCTGTAAATTTTAGTCAGTTAAAATCTCGCTACAAATCATGATAGTTTCTTTGTCTTTCATCTTCTCTTTAAAACTATGCTAATATTACCTATACTATACCAAGTAAAAAATTTATATATTAATCATAAAGTTATGAACGATGAATGTAGTTACATCGCAAATGTTTCATTGGTGGACGGGAAGGAAAAGTCCGTTGACTGGGATGTTGGAGTAAAAGCAGTATTCTTCTTTCTAAACAACGCCTTCATACTGTTTCGATAATCTGGAAGCCTCAGTGCATACACAATTGGATTGACAGAAAAATTCACCATGGCCACTGGCTTATAGTAATATGAAAAACGTCCAGCCAATTCACCTAGTTTCCCTAGCCTTTGAATAAACTCCACTTGTTTGGCGACAAAAAAAGGAAATGCAGTTACCAGTAATAAGACATTCAGCACGATGATTGTCTTTACAATTTCAAGGTGTTTAGTGTGCTGCTGTTCAGCATTTACTTTAGTGTCTTGTCGACTTTGCAATACAACCTTAAGTATGAAACACTTCAATATGATCTGAAGTAAAACAGCGATTTCCAAGACAGCATATACTGTGATATAGATATACATAAGCTGGTCAAATTTTTTTATGTAAAGTGATGTGACTTCACCAAATGCCATGCAAATGGCAATCAACCAAACAGTCGCACATAATTTGTATATTTTTCTGGTAGACAACATCTGTCGGCTACGTATGGGATACTTTGCAATTATGTAAGTTTGCCATGTGAGTGATGTCAAGTGAAAAAATGAGCCCGCAGCCCCAAACATCCAAAAGAAAAGGACAGAATAAGTGGTAGCTTTTGATGATTTTACCTCGAACAATTTACCCAATCCAACAATCATGAATTGAGACAAAGATGCTGTGAAATCAGCTATAGATAAGCTTAAGATGGTAATCCACGGTCCTCGTCTTAGTTTGTTTAAAGGATCCTTCACAATAACAACAATAAGAAGACCATTTGTTAGAACACCAACTGTGGAGATCACCATTGTTGTTATTAGTGTTTCTTGAGGAATTGAGAAACTTTTCTTCGGTTTGTTCTTCAATAAAACATATGAAAATTTTAAATGCATTGTAAACTGTCGTATTTCTCAATGGTGGAGAAGAAAATTGCAACAATTTTAGAAATGCATTAATTCAATGCTTTATCTCTTGTCAGTCTATTTCATTTCTTTTAGACGTAGTTTTCCACTGCAAGTGTGCAAGTTTTGCACTCATCAGGTGTTACGAATTACAGAATACGGAAGCATTTCAGAAGCGGATACACCTCAAGGCTTTATGGATGAGTTATAAAAATTTCAAATACGAACTCGCAGAACTGCCATTTTCTGCAGTCTTTGCTGCATATTACGTGCTGGCAAAAAGGGGAATGTGGAGATTTCTACAGAAGTTGGACAGCAACAAAGAATTCGGAAATGTAATTGTGAAACGGAAATCATTTCTGCTGCGCTTGACACGAGGATTTGATATGATTTTTATTGTAAGTCTCTTTTTGTGTGACATGTATTAAAATATTGTGAACACTTTAGATTATTTGATTTCGAGATGGAGCATATGATAACAAATAACTTACAGAAATTATGGAGAGGTACAATTATTGTAGTTGATGCTGGTCTTATAAATATTGGAAATGTTGCAAATAATTCTAAAATCACTACACATTATACTGTGAAGAAGTTTGTATCTAAAATAAAAGCGCTAAAGTTCCGCGTGTTTTTGATAGAAAAATCTTTCCTTTTAAACGTATTCAGTTTCAGGCTTGGCTTAAACAACTTCTGATAATGCCATAAAAATCGCATAAAGGAAATAATAAATACAAGAATTATAAGATTATTCAATAAGATGACTTTACCCAATGGCTTCAGTTAGACTATTGTGGCTTTTTGACTTTTTTTAATATGAGATTTTTTTGCACCTACCTCATTTCTTTGAATGCATTTCTTTCCAGTCAACAAAACATTTCATTGACTTTAAATTAATTCATCAGACCAAATAAAATGATTTTTGCAATTACATACAATAGAGTTTTTGTTTATAAACTTACATCACTTTGATTACGAGAACCAGTCTCATTCCTTGTGCAATTTGTCTGGTTTGTTTGAGTCGAGTTGCACATTTTTCCCAAATCACCAGCATTGGCCATTGGATGCACTTTCATCAAACTTGTAAGAATAAGGAATCCATAGACAAAGGAAGGATAGACGTTTTGGAAATGCCTTTTAATTATCATAGTGAGACCCTAGATAATATGGTGCGTTGCTTTTCTTTCACTTTGAATTTGATATTGACAGAGTATGTTCTCCCTAAAATCAAGTAAGCGTTGTGTGTATGAATGTTTTTATGCAGTGCGGTAATTGAAATTAAATGAAGATATGATCTTCGCACTTTGCTGGACAATTTAAGCAATCGTCTCAGGACCTGAAAAAATCAGGTGACACAAGTAAGCGTTGTGTGTGTTGGAGTTGTATTTCATCGTCGTGCACGTACATATTGTTTACAGATTTAATTGGCGTGGGTTTCCTGAAATCTTGAATCATATTTACGGCATGTTTATAGAGGATCGTTAATATGATTATCGTTTTTGCGAAAAACTGCAAACGTTTTGTCATTTGTCTGTTTACAGTACGCAATCAACATCTTTGTACGAGCACTTTTTAAATACAGAAACCTCGTTATTTTATAAGTTCCCACGTAATTTTGCTTTCACTCGTGGATTTTCTTTCACTCTATTCTCTAAATCATTGTGTATAGATATTGAAATATTCGGAACTTGTTTTTAATTCAATATTCGACAAGTGTCGTGTTAGTATTTGAAGGAAAGCATGAATAAACAAGAAACAAAAACATATTAGTAAACAAGATTATCATACACTGTTTTGATAATGGAAATATCTCAGGTAACTTAAGTTGTGTAACGCAAAACGAGTGGTTTTGCGAATTTCAACATTCTTTTTAACGCAAAAAGAATGTTGAAATTCGTGATCAAATGCATATGGTAATCACAAATTTTAATAACCGCAGACTGCCCCATCCTTGTCTTTAGCGAGTAGTTGTCAAATATTCAATGAGAACATCATACCTTGTTCATTGTTTAATCGGATAGTGAAAACTTTTGCCTTATGTATGGTATTCTTTGTATTTCATTGACATCCATCTAACGTTTATATTATACATGATGAAAATTCTAATCTGCTTGTAAAATTTTTATTAAGTAAACATTAATAGAACCATATAGAACTATTTGTAATTTAATATTTTTGATAAAAGTAGGTACAGATTGGATTGGGTCGCTCAAATCCACTAACAACTGACGAAGAGCGGACGCAACAGCTGAAATTTGTTGACAGATCAACATCCCGCAGACAGCCGTAAATTCCATTATTAAGGTGTGATTGTCAAATGCATTACTAATGCTGTTGTTGAAGATGGAGATGGCTCAGTGTTGAGTCATGCTCATAAACCACAAAAACATGTTAACGAAATAGTATATGCGTAGTTTAGTTTATCAATGTATCCGTTCTCACACAGCTATGAGCCAAGGAACAGTTATTGACGTTAGTTAAATTTCCTTATCTACCATATATAGCTTAAATAGAGGAACTACTCCGACCAATAATAATATTTGTTGTTTGTAATAAAGAGTATAAATACTGCTCTGTAAAATAATAAAAATCAGTTCGATCATTAAGTTCACTCGTGGTTGTTACTGAAGGTATAGCGTATACTAAGAAAGAGATATGGCGAGTAACTCGAACTCAACACTCAGTATGTCGAGTTTTGCATCATGACGAAGACACGTTAAATGTAGAAAAGGTCCCTTTAACTGGGAGTTTCATTCGAGAATCATTTGCACAGCTGTAATAAGATGTTTTACCGCGCATGAGATCAATCATCCTACGCAGTGACCCAAACACATTCACACATTAACTTTAATGAAAATGAAAGACAGATTTTAAAGAAATCTGACAATGCCAAAAAAATGATGAAAACAACGTCGAAGTCTCCTTAGGACGAAACAAAACCAGAGCCAAATATTTAGAGAATGTTTCTGTGCATTACAAAATGACTTCATCATCAAAATGAGCACCACTTTCACATGCCATGAAAAATTATTCAATTTTATCAGTTTGCCTGTGCAGCTACTTTTTCACGTGTCGAATATGTTTATTTGAGCAGGCGATTTGAAATCAACACTAGAAGCGTCAAATGTAATTCATGCAAGACCTTGAACGTTTCTAAATCAAAATAATTGATTTGGAATATGAAATAGAATTCAATGCACATGATTCACTTACCAAGGATGTTTATGTATGACTCAGTTTGTACATCAACAAGCATACACTTAACGAAGCTTTCACTTTAAAAAATTTGTGCATAAGACAAAATATGATAAACTCGATCAATGCAGACAAAAATCCACTTACTTAAAGTACGCAAGACTAATGTTGATTATGTTAATTATTCTGAAAGGGCACATTAAAGTCATAGATTCACCATGCGGGACGTAAATCATGTGCGAACAATAATTGATAAAACGAACAACCTCACAACTTTTCCGTAGGAAGTTAACGAATGTCACTATAGGCAGTATTCCTTAATAAAACGTTTGAAACATTAATTTTTTAGTGTTAACTGACGCAAACCTTGCTGAAACCTATATAACATTTTTAACTACATTATGACCCCATAAAATCAAATTCATTTACCAGCAAGCAAAGCATTCAAATTACTAATGCAAAAATACGTTCATGTAGTTTCATCCGAATCAGAATCGTGTGATGCATGAGGAAAAGTTTCATCAGTTAAAAGGTAAAATGCTAATGCAATTTAGACCATACATCGTGGGAACAAAAATTCGATACCCATACAACTAAAAAACATATTCATCGCATTCACGTTTCTAATTATTAATCATTATGTAGCATAGTATCAAACCGCCACTCACATCGAGGTGAGTTGAGAAAAAAAATCGGAATATCGCTTGCTTTTTTTTTCGTAGCTAATAGTAACATTGACTAGGACATCATTTTGTAGTGTACAAAATGAGATTTTTTCTCAACAACGATTTTCTTTGACACAACATGTTATATAATAGAATAAAATATTTATAATCACAGGTGTGAATAAATCAACTGAGAATACATTTTATTCGGCATTAATTGCAAGAGGAAATTTCCGTCTGTGCGAATGTATTGACAATGTTTGCCGTAACTTGAGTAGAATTAAGGATTTGTGAAAATTATAAGCAATGTATAGAGAATTGCATGCACATACGTAATGGTAAAACTTATGTCTCTGTTTACAAACTTTTTTAACTAAAATTAGTTTATGTTTTGTGTAATCACTTTCTTACCTGATGTTCTTCTTTCAAGAGTCTTGGCGCACAATGACAAAAACACTTTTCTTTTGACGTATTTAAAACACATTTTGAATAATTATGCAAAGTACTAATCATCTTTGAAAATATATGTTTTCACCCCAACAGAGTTTGACAGAGTTTGTTTTGACTTGTGAAATGTATTATGCCACGAAAGCTCTTTTTCTGATAAGTCTAATTATCATGTAAATGATGCAAAATACGAGAGATTAATAAGAAAGACGTTGAAAAAAAATATCAGTAATTACAATCAGTGTTTCTGACTCTCGTACCTCTGATTCTAAGGCTATTCTTGAATGGTTTCCAATGATTTTGCATACACACCACCTTCATATACCATAACTTACTCCTAATTTTAATTTTAAGTCCTTAAAGACCAACTCACAATTATAAATTGCAAAATTACAACATTTGTCAGAATTAATAATTTATAGGATACTTGATACTGTTTAATAATTAATGGTATACTTGATACTGTTTGTATTTTCACATTTTATCAATATCTGCTCTCACTGATGTACTGACAAGTCGAAGCTGACTGGTAAGGTGTTTATTTGTGAGCTGACTTCTGTGTTTGCTCTTAGTAAATTTCATTTTG